ATCTATCTATGTTTTTCTCATCTTTCCCCGATCTATCTATATTATTTAAAATTTATTTCTTAACGAGTATCAACTTTATGTGTAATTTATATATTATTTTTAACATGTTTAATTCATTTCTTAGAATTAAAAACATTACGTGTAATTTCTATAATTTGTCTTAATGTTCATATGTAATCTATTTGTTAATAACTTAAAACTATAAGTGTAATTTGTAAAAAATTATTTAGATTTTTTTTTGGTTAATATATTGATTTGTAGGAAATTTTAATTTTGTTTGGTTTACTAAATTCATAAGGATATTTTTTCCAACTAAAATGTTCCATCACATGTCTTTCAAATGTTGTTCTGGTATAGCATGCTCTGCAATTTTTGATACTTATTTAAGACGCGGGGTCGAATTTTGTTCTCCAAGCTTTGAAACAGTGCTGTTGCGCTGAGACATGGCTTCCTCTTTTTGTTTTGCTCTGAAAAACTTTGAATCAAAATCTCTTCTCAGCCTTTTTCACTCAGTCAAGAGTAGGAAGCTATCTGATGTGATGTAATGCTCCAGACCAGCCTACAATTGGTCCTGAAACGTTAAAAATTTTGGATATCCTTGGAAGGCAGAGTGTTGTAGCTTTGACATAATGATGGGGAGCTGATGGTTTATATCTTCATTTCACTTCTATTTGACTATGACAAGCTTTTGATCTTATATTATTCTTTGCTTTATTTCTCCGGCATTGAGGAATTCTGCCACCTCTAAAGCTGAGTACGTATTTTCTCTTCTATCTGGCCACAATTTGCTGTTTGTGTCAACTTCCTGGTACTCGTTCTTCCTTTCCAATATAATAGGTAGCAAGAGTTATCCTTTTGTATAAATCATATCCAAAATGGGTATCCATCTTCTTGATAAAGTGAATGAAACCGAAAACTTATTGGGTGGCTAAATACGTTGTCTACCTGTTGAGAAACAGTTGTTTCTGTTCTCAGAGTTATCTTTTATGTTCTGTTCAGAACTTCTGTTTCTTTACAGGCAGTCTATATCTTTACTATAGTACGATTATTTAGAACTTTCATGGATGCATAATTGCACATTATTTATCTTTGAGAGAAAAGAATATGAAAATGGGTGCAGAATTTGAAAAACCCATCAACTCGGTATGTATATATGTATACAAGAAGGTCTATACTATATGCTAACAGAAGCTCAATGTGACAAGGCAAACTAACAAAAGTTGCAATTACTATGTCAATCTGTATAGATAATCATATTGTTATAGTAGTAGTCTTCAATTCCACACATAGTTTTGAGAAGGGAGTTGAGGGACCATCATGAACATAAAATATATCACTGCCCTCATTGTCCAGGAGCCTCAGGAAAAGGGAAATAGAAAGAAGAAACAAAAGATCACTAACTAGCAACGTCAGAACTTTCAGCTAACCAATCCTTTGCGATGTTTCTGACTTTGAAGTGATAGCCCAATTCAATATTCCTTCCGTGGAAGTAGATTATGTCCTTAGAATTGTCCACCACTACTCCCAAATGAACTTCCCAGACTTGGTTGATAAGATTGATTGATAGAAAGTGTATTCGGGTGCATCCTGGATGATTTGTGTATGTCTATACATTCTTCAAGATCTGCGTTGCATTTTAAAAGCACCCACTCAGATTCGTCATACAAATATTTTAGGTTAGGTATACCTTACTGGCATCATCTATATTGTAACGCCTGAAAATTTCTTGCTGTAGATCTTTAAAACCCCAGTTTGGTTGTAGACTGACCCGGATCTTTTCTTCCCCAAAACTGGCTTTTACTCTAAAATTACTCGCATCACGAAAAACCTGGCTTCTACTCTTTGGCAGGGGAGGTGGAGGCTCAATTGAAGCATGCTCACTAATTTTTTTGGCTTTGGGACCTAATCAGAAGCTTTGTTTCATCTTGGCCCAAATCGAGCAATTCTGCATCACTCCGTGCTCATTTTAGTATCCCTCCAGTCTGTTCAGCTAATAAAGCATCTCCACTGTTGGAGACATTGACAGGGTATGATGATTGCTTCACACCTGAAGAACAGCAGAAACTTGAACTGAAGCTATGACTACCAGAAGAAGGTGATTTTGAAGCAGTGTTTCCTGGACTTCATAGGCTGCCCTCAGGTTGTGCGTTCAACTGTGGAAAATGATCGCTCATCTTGGATGTGGATAAGTGGCTGTTTCCTGGTAAATTTGGATATACAAGTACTGGGAAGTCATCGTGGAAAGAACTTAGCTGAATAGAGCCATCACCACCCTGGACTGAATCTATCACAAGTTGAAGTTTCCTCAGTGAGTGACCAACTTTCTCGATCTTTCGAGAGGGCCACCTTCTGATTCCATGCTGTCGGCATATTCTTTTCAAAGTTGTGGGACATACTAAGAAGAATAAAATGGTCATTTACATGTCCCTCTGCAATAAATCATGTAAGAATCCTGCTAGTTGTTAAACGTTCATAGGCCTATAATTATACAAATTCTCATAAAAGAACACAATACTACTGTTAGACTGCTAATAAGCCAGTAAAATTCGAAGGGTTTACTATCAAAATATTCTACTCAGATAATGCATCTGAAAGCTTAGAATGGAATCATAAAAGCAAAATTTACCAGCAAGACTAGAGTTCTAACTTATCCATGAAGACGCTTATCAAATAAATGAAAGCTGGAACTTGAAATGTAGGAAAGTATTCATTTTAGAAAGCATTTTTGGTGAAAATATATCTGTGCCAGTAGGGAATTGCGCGAAGCAAATTTCAACTTCATCCAACACTTTGGAGATGCCTGAATTTTTGTGCAGAAAGTGAAATGGCCATGTCGTACTGAACTCAGAGAATCAGGGATCAGTAACAATTTGAAGTTCTCTTGGAATTTATCTAGACTAATTAGACTCATTGTATTGAACAAGGGAAA